ATAGCTGATGATCCTGAGTGGCCAAGTTAGAGTTTTGACTGAAATCTGCTGATAATCTATGGCAAGACTTGAAAACTGCTGTCAAGCCATGATCCCCAACACCTTGACAGAGCTTGAATAATTTTTGTAAGAATAATGGGCAAATATTACACAATCCAGGTATGTACAACTGTTGTGAGACTTACCAGAAAGACTCCCAGCTGTAATCACTACCAAAGGTGTTTCTGACATCTATTGACTCAGAGGGTTGAATACTTACAGTGCTATGAAAAAGTATTTGCCCCCTTTCTAATTTTCTCTACTTTTGCATATTTGTGATACTGAATGTTATCAGATCTTCAACCAAAACCTAATATTAGATAAAGCGAACATAAGTGAACAAATAACACAACAATTACATATTTATTTCATTTATTTCATAAACAAAGTTATGCAACACCCAATTCCCCTGTGTGAAAAAGTAATTGCCCCCTTACACTCAATAACTGGTTGTGCCACCGTTAGCTGCAATGACTCCAACCAAATGCTTCCTGTAGTTGTTGATCAGTCTCTCACGTCGCTGTGGAGGAATTTTGGCCCACTCTTCCATGCAGAACTGCTTTAACTCAGTGACGTGTGGGTTTTCAAGCATGAACTGCTCGTTTCAAGTCCTGCCACAACATCTCAATTGGGATTAGGTCTGGACTTTGACTAGGCCATTCCAAAACTTCCAATTTGTTGCTTTTTAGCCATTTTCATGTAGACTTGATTGTGTGTTTTGGATCATTGTCTTGCTGCATGACCCAGCTGCGCTTCAGCTTCAGCTCACAGACGGATGGTCTGACATTCTCCTGTAGAATTCTCTGATACAGAGCAGAATTCATGGTTCCTTCTATTAAGGCAAGTCGTCCAGGTCCTGAGGCAGCAAAGCATCCCCAAACCATCACACCACCACCACCATGCTTGACCTTTGGTATGATGTTCTTACTGTGGAATGCAGTGTTTGGTTTTCGCCAGGCATTACTGGAACCATGTCGTCCAAAAAGTTATACTTTTGAATCATCTGTCCATAGAACGTTCTTCCAAGAGTCTTGATGATCCTCCAGGTGCTTTTTGGCAAACTTGAGTCAACTTTTTGGATGAGATGGGTCCCATTATGCCTGGCGAAAACCAAACAATGCATTCCACAGTAAAAACACCATACCAAAGGTCAAGCATGGTGGTGGTGGTGTGATGGTTTGGGGATGCTTTGCTGCCTCAGGACCTGGACGACTTGCCTTAATAGAAGGAACCATGAATTCTGCTCTGTATCAGAGAATTCTACAGGAGAATGTCAGACCATCCGTCTGTGAGCTGAAGCTGAAGCGCAGCTGGGTCATGCAGCAAGACAATGATCCAAAACACACCATCAAATCTACATGAAAATTGCTAAAAAGCAACAAATTGGAAGTTTTTGAATGGCCTAGTCAAAGTCCAGACCTAATCCCAATTGAGATGTTGTGGCAGGACTTGAAACGAGCAGTTCATGTTTGAAAACCCACACGTCACTGAGTTAAAGCAGTTCTGCATGGAAGAGTGGGCCAAAATTCCTCCACAGCGACGTGAGAGACTGATCAACAACTACAGGAAGCATTTGGTTGGAGTCATTGCAGCTAACGGTGGCACAACCAGTTATTGAGTGTAAGGGGGCAATTACTTTTTCACACAGGGGAATTGGGTGTTGCATAACTTTGTTTATGAAATAAATGAAATAAATATGTAATTGTTGTGTTATTTGTTCACTTATGTTCGCTTTATCTAATATTAGGTTTTGGTTGAAGATCTGATAACATTCAGTATCACAAATATGCAAAAGTAGAGAAAATTAGAAAGGGGGCAATTACTTTTTCATAGCACTGTATCTAATCAAGGTAAATTAGTGTTTTATTTTTCATTCATTTACATTTTTTATGTATAATGTTTATTGACATTACAAAGTATTACAACAATTACATCAATTTTAATCCCACTTTGTAAGACAATACAATTTGAAGAAATCCAAGGGGGGTGTAGACTTTCTATAGGCACTGTATTTCAGAATGTAAACACATCAAACGTATTCAGAAAATGTAAACACAGCAAACGTATTCAGAAAATGTAAACACAGCAAATGTGAGAAGAAAAAAGCTCTTCGTCACCAGGTGACATTTACACAACCCTCCTCTCTCCTGGACACCATCAACTCTTCATTGAACATGTGGAAAAGGAAGCCATCATAAGTCAAAGCTGTGTGCAGTGCTATAAAGTGCAAAGTCCTTCAAGGGGATAATTGAAGTCTGGTGTACAACCAAACTTATACTGTAGATCTACAGAGACATCATGAGAGCCACTGCAGCCGTCTTACTGGTTCTCTGTCTCCTGGCCATCAGTCATGGTAAATTAACCATATTCTGAAGAATGCCTGCTCAACTTGGAGTTGATCATCAGGTTGGCTACATAATTTCCTCCTCCTTGTTGTCAGTGTACTCTACTCATGTCTTTGTCTCTTTGTACTTAGTTTATGTGTCTTTGTCTGTGAGCTCTACTCATATGGCTTTGGTGTCAAAATAAGAAAATGAACTATAGGGAGATAGCCCTCCATGTAGCTGCCCATGCTGTCACTGAAACGACCCATGAAAATGATAGATGTGTGCCCTCTACATGCTCAGAAAGAGTTTAAACCTTTTGGGTTCCATGTAGAACCCTTTGAGGAAAGGGTTCTACCTGGAACCAAAAATGGTTCTTCAAAGGGTTATCCTATGGGGACAGCTGAAGAACACTTTTAAGGCTCTAGAAAGCACCTATTTTTCTAAGAGTATAGGCTTTATAACTCTGTTAAATTGAAATGGCTATTGAACAGCAGGAAATCTCCCAGATCGTTCCTTTAGCGTTCGTGAAGTTCTATGCAGGTGTCCCTGTCTGTTGCATGTTAATGCAGGTGTCCTCCCTCTCTGTGGATGACTTCGTCAACCACTTTGAAAAGAAGGTTGACGACATCCGATCCTCGTTTGTTAAGTCTAATGACACTGCTGGTCCTGCTCACACTGCCCTACCCTATGCTTTGACTTCTTTCTCCCCTCTCTCTCCAGATAAAATCTTGCGACTTGTGACTACAGGCCGCCCAACAACCTGCCCGCTTGACCCCATCCCCTCCTCTCTTCTCCAGACCATCTCCGGTGACCTTCTCCCCTACCTCACCTCGCTGATCAACTCATCCTTGACCGCTGGCTATGTCCCTTCCGTCTTCAAGAGAGCGAGAGTTGCACCCCTTCTCAAAAAACCAACACTTGATCCCTCTGATGTCAACAACTACAGACCAGTATCCCTTCTTTCTTTTCTTTCCAAAACTATTGAGCGTGCCGTCTTTAGCCAACTCTCTTGCTATCTCTCTCAGAATGACCTTCTTGATCCAAACCAGTCAGGTTTCAGGACTGGTCATTCAACTGAGACTGCTCTTCTCTGTGTCACGGAGGCTCTCCGCACTGCTAAAGCTAACTCTCTCTCCTCTGCTCTTGTCCTTCTAGACCTGTCTGCTGCCTTTGATACTGTGAACCATCAGATCCTCCTCTCCACCCTCTCCGAGCTGGGCATCTCCGGCGCGGCTCACTCTTGGATTGCGTCCTACCTGACCGGTCGCTCCTACCAAGTGGCGTGGCGAGAAGCTGTCTCCGCACCACGTGCTCTCACCACTGGTGTCCCCCAGGGCTCAGTTCTAGGCCCTCTCCTATTCTCGCTATACACCAAGTCACTTGGCTCTGTCATATCCTCACATGGCCTCTCCTATCATTGCTACGCTGACGATACACAACTAATCTTCTCCTTTCCCCCTTCTGATAACCAGGTGGCGAATCGCATCTCTGCATGTCTGGCAGACATATCAGTATGGATGACGGATCACCACCTCAAGCTGAACCTTGGCAAGACGGAGCTGCTCTTCCTCCCGGGGAAGGACTGCCCGTTCCATGATCTCGCCATCACGGTTGACAACTCTGTTGTGTCCTCCTCCCAGAGTGCGAAGAGCCTTGGCGTGACCCTGGACAACACCCTGTCGTTCTCCGCTAACATCAAGGCGGTGACCCGATCCTGCAGGTTCATGCTCTACAACATTCGGAGAGTACGACCCTGCCTTACACAGGAAGCGGCACAGGTCCTAATCCAGGCACTTGTCATCTCCCGTCTGGATTACTGCAACTCGCTGTTGGCTGGGCTCCCTGCCTGTGCCATTAAACCCCTACAACTCATCCAGAATGCCGCAGCCCGTCTGGTGTTCAACCTTCCCAAGTTCTCTCACGTCACCCCGCTCCTCCGCACACTCCACTGGCTTCCAGTTGAAGCTCGCATCTGTTACAAGTCCATGGTGCTTGCCTATGGAGCTGTGAGGGGAACGGCACCTCCGTACCTTCAGGCTCTGATCAGTCCCTACACCCAAACGAGGGCATTGCGTTCATCCACCTCTGGCCTGCTGGCTCCCCTTCCTCTGCGGAAGCATAGTTCCCACTCAGCCCAGTCAAAACTGTTCGCTGCTCTGGCACCCCAATGGTGGAACAAGCTCCCTCACAACGCCAGGACAGCGGAGTCACTCACCACCTTCCGGAGACATTTGAAACCCCACCTCTTTAAGGAATACCTGGGATAGGATAAAGTAATCCTTCTACCCCCCCCCCCCCCCCTAAAAAAAATAAAAATAATAAAAAAATAAAAAATAAATAAAAACAATTGTAAAGTGGTTATCCCACTGACTATAGGGTGAATGCACCAATTTGTAAGTCGCTCTGGATAAGAGCGTCTGCTAAATGACGTAAATGTAAATGTAAAATACATGTTCGGTATTGGGGGGGGGGGATTAATCAGCAATATGGTCTACAAAGAGTTTCCACAATATGTTTACTGTTTATATTCTAGGCAACTAGTCATTTGTTAATAATAAATTACACATTTCCCTCAGAGTAGTGTAGTGAGTAGTGGGTAGTTAACCATCTTTAATAGAGCATACTGTAAAAAGGTGTTGTCAAAGGCTTTATTTAAATCAACATAACAAATATGTACCTGTGAGACTACAACAATAGGGCACCTGTCAATGAAACTATGCATCAGGGAACTAAAGGTTTACCAGTTCATGAACACTGTAGTGCTTTCATCTTATCTAACATTCATAGTAAGAAGATTCACAAAACAGATCTCTCAAGTTTCACTGGATCTTTGCAGGGCAACCTTAAATCCCCCTGTTCAATATGATTTAAAAAACACTGAAATTAGTTTCAAACTGAATGCTTTATCTGCGGGAAATGATTATATAATGAGACAAGGATTCCAACCAACCCTATTGATGACCTCTGAAGCACAGCAAAACCCATGTGGATTGTGAGCAACATGACCGTGCCCAAGTTTACACTACCATTAAATAGCAGCTATGGCAAAGCTCTATTGAAGTGTTAATCAAGGATTGATTAAGAAAATAATACACTTTTATATAGCTGTTGCTTGTCAATTTTGTGTGAGAAAACATCATTGATAAATTCTTTAAAATGTAATTAAGATCAGTGATTACTATCGATAGAGATAAAAAACTGAAAAAATATAGTTAGAGCAATAGGTTTTAGAATGAAGGATTGTTATGAACTAATGTTGATAATTGTCAAGCAGAAGGCTGTTCCAGAAAGAGAGATCAATGAGTTAGCAACTGAACCTGTTAGATCCTGAACGGTCTTCAGATGCAGAGGAGAGGCTAACGTGTGCACACCATGGTGAAGCCAGACGTGGAGACGACCCAAAGACGGCCCAGGTCGTAGGTCACGTGCGTCATTGGCATGTACATTGGGACAATGCTCCATCCAGTGCCCTCTGGTTTACTGGCTGTGATGCCGTCTCTGTGTTAAAGAAATGGGTGGAGTTCGCATTTAAAGCTTATACATAGTTTTTTAAGTACATACATCTTCAGACTTTATTAATTATATATAGCTATTGATTATTGAACAATATAATGTAGGACTCTTGAGCTTAAAACATTCGCATCAGAAGCCAAAATATAAGCTTTACACAATTGTTTGTAAACAATGTTATTTCAATGAACAATGTATGTTTTTTTAATCATGGATGATCTGTTCTTGCATTATTGGCGCCATCTATGAATTCGAGAGTGGTTACATTTCTCTAGCTACATATCTCAGCTGTCACGATCGTTACAGGAAGACTCGGACCAAGGCGCAGCGTGATAAGTGTACATTTTATTTACCGTACTGCACACGAAACAAAACAACAACCCAAACGATACGTGAAGTCCTAGGTTATACACACCAAACCAAACGGAACAAGATCCCACAATAAACTAGTGAAAACAGGCTGCCTAAGTATGCCCCCAATCAGAGACAACGAGCTGCAGCTGCCTCTGATTGGGAACCACCCTGGCCAACATAGATCTAAACGATCTAGAACGAAAACATAGAAAATGTAACAGAAATTCCACACCCTGGCTCAACATTTAAGAGTCCCCCGAGCCAGGGCGTGACATCAGCTGTTTACCAAAACAAGCGGTGGGGTGACCGTGTAGTTGTTATTTTGAATCCCAAACTGTAGCTTTAAAGGATATCCAACCTTTTCAAAATGTACCATAAACTGTTCACACATTTCTTTATAAGTCTTATAAGTTTAGATCTGATTATATTTTACAGATTTTATTTATGCGTCTGTTTTAATTTAGGTAGAAATCGCTTCACAAGCATGTACAGTAAGGGTCAGAGTTATTCATAAAGATATATCATTATTATTATAAGTTCTAATTACTTAAGTCAATTAAGTCATTTTAAAGTTACTAATGTTGAGGGGGGAAAGGATGGAACCATACAAGTAGCAACCTTACCTGGTAAAAACTTGTCCTTCAGAGTTGACCCCAAAGACACTACCATCAGTTGCCACCTCAATCATGGAAAGCTTGCCGTCAATGTGACTCCACCCCTTGTTTTGACAGGTGTCTTTGTTCACATTCTGAAAACAAACATAGTCAATCAGGGTTTTAAGACAATTTTAACAGTTATAATATGAAACAGTTTTAAAATAACTGACACTCTCCATACTCTACCACTCTACTCCAGATCTCACACTCTTTCCCAGATCTTACACTCATTAAATAGATTTCATCATTCTTGTTGACTGCCCAGCACCCAAAGGGTCCACAACTGAGGTACTTCACACTTCCTGGCAATCTTGTCCCATGATAGCGTGAGTCTTGTCCCATGATGCCAACTATGGTACTACTTGTCACACAGAATGGAGTATCGTCAATAGTGGCCCCCACAATAAACTCGTCACCCCCAGCATCCACCTGCTTCACACTGACTGAAGACCACAGAGACAGACAAGCAAACAAGGACTACGCATATGTGAGTACTGCCAAATGACTTACAGTACAATGACATAATGTTGAACGTGAATAATTTACCCTGATGGTATCAGGAAAGCTAAGAAGTAGGTGTCCTCTGGATTCATAATTGAGTAATGCTCTCCACTTACTTGCATATTGCTCCCAGTTACCGGCCACATACTTGTAGATGATGTTTCCGCTGTTGATACCCCAGATCCCTGCTGGTCCCACAGTGATATGCTTCAGGGAACCAGGCAGGCGGATCCATTTATCACCTACCAGGTAGTAGGGGATTTGACTTGTGTTCGTTGCAACCACTTGCCCCAGTCCTGCATCGAACTGCATCAGATGATATATATCCACTACAGGCTGACAGTCCCATGCTATGGAGACACCAGATGAAAGACAAGTAGAGTACACCAGCAAAAAGGAGGATGAAATTATGGAGCCAACTTGATGATCAATTCCAAGTTTAGTGTAGAGCTGCCTGTAAAATAATTTTTCAGATGATGGTAACTTACCATGACTGATGGCCAGGAGACAGAGGACCAGTAGAACGGCTGCAGTGGCTCTCATGATGTCTCTGTAGAGCGACGGTATACGTTTGGTTGCAGTTTGGTTGAACACAGACTTTTCCCCTTATATACAGTAGCCCTGCAAACAGCTTTCAACCCTCATAAAATAATTATGAATGAGCTATTTATATTTGACAAACATCCTGTTCCAAGGAAAAGTTAACGTGAGGAGGACATAACCCCACCCTCTCCCACACACAGACACACAATAATAATAATATATACTGAGCAAAAATATAAATGCAACGTGTAAAGTGTTGGTCCCGTGTTTTATGAGCTGAAATAAAAGATCCCAGAAATGTTCCATACGCACAAAAAGCTTATTTCTCTCAAAAAGCGTATTTTTCTCACCTACTGTACTTGGCAGGTGGCATAATTGTAGAGCTGTTTGATAAGGTTGCTAAGCACCAAAGTGTTATAGGAGGACCGATATAATGTTTACACTGTACCAGACTGAGTGTAACACATTTTATACCGCTACCATCCCCCCTCAATGGAGGACAACTTTATTTTCATTTTTATAACATAAGTCATTTTTTGTTTCATTTGTTATAGGGCGGCAGGTAGCTTAGTGGGTAAGAGCGTTGTGCCAGTAACCGAAAGGTCGCTGGTTCTAATCCCCGAGCCAACTAGGTGAAAAATCTGTCGATGTGCCCTTGAGCAAGGCACTTAACCCTAATTGCTTCTGTAAGTCGCTCTGGATAAGAGCGTCTGCTAAATGACTAAAATGTAAATGTAAATGTTATATTCTTTAAACACTTACACTACATGACCAAAAGTATGTGGACACATGATCGAACATATCATTACAAAATCATGGGCATTAATATAGAGTTGGTCCCCCCTTTGCTGCTGTAACAGCCTCCACTCTTCTGGGAAGGCTTTCCACTAGATGTTGGAACATTGCTGCAGAGACTTGCTTCCATTCTGCCACAAGACCATTAGTGAGGTCGGGCACTAATGTTGGGCGAATAGGCCTGGCTTGCAGTCGGCATTCCAAATGTGACCAATGAAGACAAAACAAGTCGAACATAGACACATGGATCGGTAGTAGCTATTACTCCAGTGACGACGAACGCTGAAGCCTGCCCGAGCAAGGAGGAGGGGCAGCCTCGGCTGAATTTGTGACACGGACAGACATGGGCACACTCAAACATAATTTACAAACAAGGTATTTGTGTTTCGTGAGTCCGCCAGATCAGAGGCAGTAGGGATGACAAAGCGTTATATTGTTAGGTGCCATAATTCTGTCCTTGAGCATTCTAAATGTAACAAGTACTTTTAGGTGTCAGGTAAAATGTATGGAGTAAAAAGTACATAATTTTATTTAGGAATGTAGTGGAGTAAAAGTAAAAGTTGTCAAAAATATAAATAGTGAAGTAAAGTACAGATACCCAAAAAAACTACTTAAGTAGTACTTAAAAGTATTTTTACTTAAGTACTTTACACCACTGCATTTGTTATACATTAAATACATGCTTTATCATGTGGACAAATATCCTGCCTCCATTGTGTTGTGTTATGGAGAAAATGGGGGGGTCATGTTTGCAGTAACTGCAAAAAAGTTCAAGTGAAACCAAGGAAAAAGGCAGTAATTGTCATCACTCACGTCAGTTCCTGCCTTTTCCCTTGGTTTCACTGAACTTTGTGCTGCGGTGTCTACGCTAAACATGGGTATTATTTATTGTTCTTCGCTGATACAAGTATCAAACTGTATGACACTGACAGCCACATACAAGTAAATATACTAACACAAGTTTGTATTTTTTTTAAATCGTAATGGAAACGTATTCCAGTGGGTGTACCAAGCAAGAAGGCAGTAACTGCCGTCTAGGATCAAAGGTCATGTCAGAGGTCAGGGTCAATATGAATAAAAAATTACCTCATAGTAAGACAACAGATAACCACATCTCCAATGATCTGCCTACAATTCATTTGGCTGGACAATAAAACAACTTTGAAGTAATTCTTCTCAGTTTCACTCTATGAGCGGTTACTGCTTATTGCTTGGTAGGGCAGTATAGATCCCCTACATCAAGGGTGTCAAACTCATTCCATGGACGGCCGAGTGTCTGTGGGTTTTTTTGTTTTTACTTTCAGTTAAGACCTAGACAACCAGGTGAGGGGAGTTCCTTACTAATCAGTGACCTTAATTCATCAATCAAGTACAAGGGAGGGGCAAAAATCTGCAGACACACTGCCCTCCGTGGAATGAGTTTGACACCCTTGATGTAGGGGATCTATAGTAGTTTCAGGCATTTCGTTTATACCTGCTACGGTAGGTGTCACCTTGTTAACCTCCAAAAACAACAGTCTCATCACAGGCTCTTTCCATTTCCCCTGAAAACCAGAACATCCGGTTGTTGGGGACTCGACAGAGAACTTCACTTTCCTGCATTATCAAACCTTCCTGTCTCTTCTGTTGGTTTTCACTACGATTTCAGCATGCAGCTTGGCATGATCATTTAGTGCACATGTCAAACTCATTCCACGGAGGGCAGAGTGTCTGCTGGTTTTCGCTCCTCCCTTGTACTTGATTGATGAATTAAGGTCACCTGGTTGTCTAGGGCTTAATTGAAAGGAAAATCCAGCAGACACCGGCCCATCCATGGAATGAGTTTGACACCCCTGATTTAGTGGAATAACTGTCTCGTCAACTCAGGTTGGCATTTATTGGGATGGCTCTTGTACTGGAGGCAGCTCTGCAGGGTGGTCACTAGCTGGCACAGCCACAACGTCATAAAATCTAAACCTAATCCTAACGTTAACCACACTAACCTTATGCCTAACCCTAACCTTAAGACCAAAAAGCATATTTTTTATTTTTATGAATGTTTACGATAGTAGCCAATTTTGACTTTGCAGCTGACCCATCCAGCGGAAACCGCTCTGCCTCCAGGACAAGATTCATCACAATAAACATCAACCTGTCATGCCAAATGGATATATCACAGTTATAAATCCTAGATCTGGGATATTTAACTCTTACTCTACGAGGTCCGGAGCCTGCTGGTTTTCTGTTCTACCTGATCATTAATTGCACCCACCTGGTGTCCCAGGTCAAAATCAGTCCCTGATTAGAGGGCAACAATGAAAAAACGCAGTGGAACTGGCTTTGAGATCCAGAGGTGAGTTTGAGGGTCCTAGATGGTGTGTGCCCATGACTACAGAAGACTGATAATGGCTTGCAAGTAGTCAACCTACACCAGCTCCTATTCTATCTTAATCTAGAGAAACTAGGACAAATTAACCAGTCTGTTGAAATTTTATGTGAAATGTTGAGTTAAGCAAACCGGGTGATTTATGTATACAGTACTGCTTGAATGTATGTGAACCCCTTGTGCAATTACAGATTTTTTCAGTTTTTACCATGAAAATTAAACATTTAATCAGAACCAGTCTTTTTGATCTGACATAGCAGGTTTATATTTACCAATACCATAGGTTGGTGTAGAGGAAATAATTTGTGTAGTAGAAAAACTAAATTAAAAAGGAATTAGTGCAGGTGCAAAAATAAGTGAACCCCAAGTTGCATTGTTTAAATCAAGTAGGTATGAAAAAAGAAAATGTATGCACTCACTAACTGTAAGTCGCTCTGGATAAGAGCGTCTGCTAAATGACTAAAATGTAAGGTAGGTAAGTAGAATCAGGTTGGTAAATAGGAAAGAGTTTGGGTGGGACTCTGATATCAGTTTGGTGTTACACATCCAGGTGAATGCAAAGCACACCATGCCGAGAGGAAAGGAGATCTCAGAGGACATCAGGACGAGGGTAGTGAGAGCACATCAGTCTGGGGAAGGCTATAAAATCATATTTTGAGCTCCATCAGTCCACTGTGAGGCAAATCATTTACAAATGAAGAGCATTTAACATGACAGCAACTCGGCCTAGAAGTGAACGCCCTTCCAAAATATCCCCAAGAGCCACAAGTACAATACTAAATCAGGTAAAAGCCAATCCAAACATAACATCTAGAGATTTGCAGACCTCCCTTGCTGCATCTCTGGTAACTGTGCATGCTTCAACAATAAGAACACTGAATCAAAATGCCATTCATGGGAGGGTTGCTTGGAAGAAGCCTCTGGTTCTTTTTTGAATGCAAACTGCCCGTTTTAACTTTGCCAGAGACCACCTGGACAAACCTAAAGGTTTCTGGAAGTCCATTCTCTGGACGGATGAGTCCAAAATTGACCTTTCTGGTCACAATCAACACCGCTATGTTTGGTGAAAACCCAAAAATAACCTTATCCCAACAGTCAAGCATGGTGGTGGGAATGTCAAGATCTGGGGCTGCTTTTCCTACTCTGGACCTGGACGACTCCACATCATTAAGATAACCATTCTGAGATATAACAGGAGATTCTTGAACAGAACGTCAGGCCATCAGCCAAGGAGCTAAAGCTGGGCCGAAAATGGGTCTTCCAACAAGACAACGACCCAAAGCATTCAAGCAAATCTACCAAAGAATGGCTCAGGAGAAAGAAGATCTGTGTTTGGGATTGGCCAAGTCAAAGTCCTGACCTAAATCCAATCGAGATGCTGTGTCAGGACCTGAATCTGGCAGTTCATGCCAGACACACCTCAAACCTCAGATGTCAAAGACTGATTACTGGCTATAGGAGACGTTTAGTCCAAGTTATCACTGCCACAAGCTATTAACTGAAGGGGTTCACATATTGTTGCAGACATCAAATCTGAGTTTCTCTTAAATAAACCACTTGTTAAATAAACAATGAAAATATATCCTTTTTTTGTTTCTGTCATTTACCTGGAATGTCTTTAATATGAATTGGGGTTTAGATAAGGATTTTATGTTTATTTTGTAGCAAAATAATGACCAGCCCTGTAGGGTTCACATACTTTCAAGCAGCACTGTATGTCCCAAGGGGAGCCAGCGTACTTACAGGGGTCAAAGGTGAGCTTGGTCAACGTTCTGTTGTCAGCCAGCCCAACCAGGTTAATGATGTTCATGGTGACAAATAACATACAATTTGAAAACAAAAAGAATTAAAAAGCATGTGGGAAACCCCTGCTGAGTTAAGAGGCTACTCTCAATCAGCGTCTCAAATTGTCAATCCCCCCCCCCCCAATCTCTTCTTCTATGGTATAATGGCGTTGGCAATGATTAGATGTGCATTATGCCACCTACTGTGCGGGTGGATAATAAGGGCCCAAAAAGGAAAACAGTTGGGTAAAAATAAATTAAATATCATACAATCTATCAAAACAGAAATTAACAAAAAAAAGTAAACTTGCTTTTCTATTAAAAAAACTATTTCTAATCAGGTCCCAACACAGGCTCAAAAGCCTGCTGTGAGGGCAGGACATTTCCTAGTGAAAATAGTCCTTGTAGTGATTCTGCCGTGAAGTCTTGGAGCCCCAAGAACGTATTGGCTGCAGATATATCCAGCTTCTTGGACTTCTTAGACACTTGTGCTGTACAATTAATCACTGTGGCTATACATTATTGTATCCAGATCAATCGATTGACTTAAAACACTAGCAACTGGTTGCAATGTATCCACCGCCATATCTTCATCACTGTTGCCTCTTCGACTCTCTTCACCGCCTCAACATAGGAGATCCGCTGCTCAGTCTTGATCCTTGACACCTCGACCTCCTTCACCCTAATAGGGCACTCAAGGAAATCCAGAGTATGATCCCCACCACATTTTCTTCAATATCATACTTGTCCCGTCTGCAAACATTTGACATATCCTTTACAATTCCCACACTGTAATGGTTTGGACACAAATGCGCTCACCTCATACAGCCAAGCTTCACATTCAGGTTGAGTCTCCTCAAACAACAATAATATCGACAGGCTTTTCTCCTTCCTTCCATTTACCATACGGTTCAGGTGACATGCACTGAACACTTCTGGGATTTACTGACTAAAGGTCCTCATCATCTATATCCAATGAGACTCCAGCTATAACTCCTTTGGCAGGCACCCTGCTCCGAAGATCAGTACATTACTTCTAACGTGAACAATTTTGCAAGATCCAGTGCATGCTTCTGTTCAACACAATTAACCAAAACAAGGCCGCTTCTAGTCACATTGAATCCACCTTTCCCACTGCTTTCCTCAATATAACAAATGGATTTCCCAAATGAACCTCCTTGTCTAAAAACCGCAGTCCAATAAGAAATGCATTATGGGACCGGTGCTTGTCTTCTACAACTTACTCATTTTGTTCCATTCTTTGATTTCACTATTTTCCGTTCGTTATCACACACACTTCACTTGCCGCACTTTCAGATTCAAGCAGTCGCAATATCCTCCTCCAGCTTCCTTAGACTCCCCATCCAGCACTCTCACCTGTGAGCCTTTAACCCTGTCGGCACTCAAAGCACCTGGCCTGGTTACTGCTGCTACCTAGGGGTGTGATATGAATAGTGGAAATGGACTGTTTAACTGTGGCCCAGCCACATCTACCTCTATTCCTAACAGTGGGACTTCCTATGGCAGCATTTCCCAAACTCAGTCCTTGGGACCCCAAGGGGTGCACGATTCGTTCCCCCCCCCCCCCCCACACAGCTGATTCAAATAACCAACTCATCAAGCTTGGATATTTGAATCAGCTGTGTAGTGCTAGGGCAAAAACCATAATCACAAAACAGATCTACCCAGCGAAGCTTGATCTTTGCAGAGCAAGCTGAAAACCCCCTGTTCACTATGATAAAAAAAAAAATTTAAACACAGAAATGGGTTTTACACTGAATGCTTTATTTTAGCTGGAAATGATTAAATCATTATAATATATAAAATAAGCAATGACAAGGATTACATCCAACCCTATTGATGACCTATGAAGCCCAGCAAAACCCATGTGGATTGTGAGTAACATGACCACGCCCAAGTTTCCCCTACGATCAAATAGCATTCATGGCAAAGCTCTATTGAAGTGTTGATCAAGACATTTTTATAATGCTGTTACTTGTCAATTGTCTTTGAAAACATGTCAATACAGTCAGTGAACTATTAGATAAAGTAGTGAAAGAGTATAGTTTAAAGCATTACGTTTTAGAATGAAGGATTGTTATGAACTAATGTCCACAATTGTCAAGCAGGAGGCTTTTCCAGAAAAAGATATCAATGAGTTAGCAAGTGAACTTGTCAGATGCCGAATAGTTTTCAGATGCAGAGGAGAGGCTAAGGTGTGCACACCATGGTGACGGCAGACTTGGAGACGACCCAAAGATGTTCCAGGTCGTAGGTCACATGCTTCATCCGCAAGAACATTGGGACTTTGCGCCATCCAGTGCCCTCTGGTTTACTGGCTGTGATGCCGTCTCTGTGTTGAAGAAGGTGGGGTTCACATGTTTAAAGCTCATCCATTCAAAAAGAAAAAAAAGAACAATTGTTGAACTTTATTAATTGTATATAGCCATTGATTGTTGAAGAATATAACTTATAAATGACTCATGCGCTTAATACAACTGCATCAGAAGAAAACATGTAATATTTTACTAAATTGGTTGTAAACAATGCTATTGTTTTACAAAACATGTTTAAATGAAAAATTATTTTGTTCTCATCGGTCTGTCCTTACATCTATTGATCCATCTATGAACTTGAGTGGTTACATTTCTCCTGTCCCATCCCTCATCTGTTTACTAAAACAAGTGGCCATTTAGTTTTAAAAAAAATCCAAACTGGAGCTTTAAAGGAGAGCGAACTTCTACATATTTTACCATACACTGTCTTCACATTCCTTCATAAGTCTATTATACAAGTTTAGATTTGATTATTATTACAAGTCATTTTTAAGTTAATAATGTTGAGGGAGAAAAGGGTGGAACTATACATATAGCTCAGTAGCAACCTTACCTGGTAAAAACGTCACCCGAAGAGTTGACCCCAAAGACACTACCATCAGTTGCCACCTCAATCATGGAAAGCTTGCCATCAATGTGACTCCAATCGTTGTTTTGGCAGTCTTGATTCAGCTGGAAACAAACAAGGTTTTAGGACAATTTCTACAGTTATAATACTACAGTTGTAAAATAACAGACTCTCCACACTCTACTACAGCTCTCACACTCTTTCCCAGATCTTACAATCATTAAGAAGATATCATCATTCTTGTTGACTGCCCAGCACCCAAAGGGTCCACAACTGTAGTACTTCACAGCTCCTGGCAATCTTGTCCATGAAGTGGGTGAGCCTGGACCCTTGTAGCCAACTGTGGCACTACTTGTCAGACAGAATGGAGTATCGTCCATGTTGACCCCCACCATAAACTGGTTACCTCCAGCATCCAACTGCTTCAGAAGGCCTGAAGACCGACGGACAAGCAAACAATGAATTGTGTTTCAACACCGTGATGGTATCAGGAAAGATAAGTAGGCAGTGGTGTAAAGTACTTAAGTAGTTTTTGGGGGTTACTATACTATTTAGGAAAACGTTTACCTTTACTTCACTACATTCCTAAAGAAAATAATGTACTTTTTTCCCCCCCATACATTTTCCCTGACACCCAAAAGTACTTGTTACATTTTGTCAGGAAAATGGTCCAATTCACACGCTTATCAAGAGAACATCCCTGGTCATCCCTACTGCCTCTGATCTGGCGGACTCACTCAACACAAATGCTTCCTTTGTAAATTATGTCTGAGTGTTGGAGTGTGCCCCTGGCTATCAGTCAATTTAAAAAAAAACTAGAAAATTGTGCCGTCTGGTTTGCTTAATATAAGGAATTTGAAATGGTTTATACTTTTACTTTTGATACTTAAGTACATTTAAAACCAAATACTTTTAGACTTTTGCTCAAGTAGTATTTTACTGGGTGACTTCCACTTTTACTTGAGTCATTTTCTATTAAGGTATCTTTAAATTTTACTCAAGTATGACAATTGAGTACTTTTTCCACCACTGAAAGTAGGTGTCCTCTGGATAAATATTGAGCAATGCCCTCTACTTACCTGCAGCTTGCACCCAGTTACCGGCCACATACTTGTAGATCGAGTCTTCCTTGTTGACACCCCAGATCCCTGCTGGTCCTACAGTGATATGCTTCAGGGAACCAGGCAGGCGGATCCATTCATCACCTACCAGGTAGTAGGGGATTTGACTTGTGTCCGTTGCAACCACTTGTCCCAGTCCTGCATCGATCTGCATCAGATTCTTGATGTTTACTACCTCCTGACAGTCCCATGCTATGGAGACAAAGACATATGAGTATTTGTATTTATTATGGGTCCCCATTAGTTCCTGCCAAGGCAGCAGCTACTCTTCCTGGGGTCCAGCAAAATTAAGGCAGTGATACAATTTAAAAAACATTACAATACATTAACAGATTTCACAACACACTGTGCCCTCAGGCCCCTACTCCACCACATATCTAAAGTACAAAAATCCATGTGTATGTTATCGTGTGTATGCATGTGTCTGCGCCTATGTTTGTGTTGCTTCACAGTCCATAAGGTGTTTTCTTATCTGTTTTTTAAATCTAATTTTACTACTTGCATCAGTTACTTGATGTGGAATAGAGTTCCATGTAGTCATGGCTCTATGTAGTACTGTGCACCTCCCATAGTCTGTTCTGGACTTGGGGACTGTGATGAGACCTCTGGTGGCATGTCTTGTGGGGTATGCATGGGTGACCGAGCTGTGCGCCAGTAGTTCAAACAGACAGCTCGGTGCACAACATGTCAACACCTCTCATAAACACAAGTAGTGATGAAGTCAATCTCTCCTCCACTTTGAGCCAGGAGAGATCGACATGCTATTAATATTAGCTCTCTGTGTACATCCAAGGGCCAGCCGTGCTGCCCTGTTCTGAGCCAATTGCAATTTTCCTAAGTCCTTTTTTGTGGCACCTGACCACATGACTGAACAGTAGTCCAGGTGTGACAAAACTGGGGCCTGTAGGACCTGCCTTGTTGATAGTGCTGTTAAGAAGGTAGAGCAGCGCTGTATTATGGACATACTTCTCCCCATCTTGGCTACTGTTGTATCAATATGTTTTGACCATGACAGTTTACAATCCAGTAGAATACACCAAGGAAAAGGAGGATGAAATTATGGAGCAAACTTGATCAATTCCAAGTTGAACAAACATGCTTCAGATGATGGTAACTTACCATGACTCAGGGCCAGGAGACAGAGGACCAGTAGGACGGCTGCAGTTGCTCTCATGATGTGTTCTGTAGATCTACAGTATATGTTTGGTTGTACACCAGACTTCAACTGTCCCCTTGCAGGACTTTGTGCTTTTATAGCCCTGCACACAGCTTTGAAAGCAATGATGGCTTCCTGTTCCACCTGTTCAATGACGAGTTGATGGGAGGCTGGACCCGGACCTGCTTTCGAACCAATAGGCACAGGGGAAAAATCTACCCTGGCAACAATATGTTACAAGTAGCTCCACTGCTCTAACAAATAACAATCACCCACAATGACAAGGGGGCAGAGGGAACACTTATACACAGACTAATTAGGGGATAGGAACCAGGTGTGTGTGATTGACAAGACAAGACAATTGTGATGATGATTGGGGCGGCAGTGGTTAGTAAGCCGGTGAGGACAAACGCCGAAGCCTGCCCGAACAAGGAGGGGAGGCAGCCTCGGCCGAAGTCGTGACAATCACAGCATGTTTTTGGACACAGCATGTTTTTGGAAATTCCATTTATATTCCTAAAAAATAAGTCAAAAATTATGCTGTCGCTGCTTCCTGTTATCAAAAACTTTGGATAAATAGCCCAATGTCAAAACACAGTTTTGAACTGTCCAAATCAATAATCATTGAAAACCTAAAATGTACCATCTCTGTGCAACAATAGTAATCAGATTACTTGTATTTTTTTTTACTAACACGTTATGAACTGCATATGAGCCAAAAACGCTGTAGTTTTGATCACTCATATCGATTGGGGGGGAAATCAGGTTGTATGCGGAAACTGGAAAGATTTTAACATCACTGGTTAGAAGACAGCGTGTCGGATGGAGATTCAGGCAGGCTGCCGAAACGGGGAAGGAAACAAAATCTGTTTGTTTTTTATTTAACTTCAACGAATTACGACCCTACGTAGGACATCATCAGTGACCAGGGTTGGTTGTTGTTTGAGTGATAGCACACTGGGAAATATGTTAATGAGACATGTATTTTAAGCCAACAGAGAATTCTGAAGTTGTGGGTGTCAGCAAACTATACTCTGTTGTGTAATCAACTCAGCTATTTGTGTTGCAAAGGCACATTTCAATATTTAAGTTCACACAGCACTGTTAAAAAAACGTTTTAAAACATTGTTGATCGGGCTATGATCATGATGTAATATCAGAGATGATGAGCTATGACAAGGATTGCGTTCACTGAAAAATAACAAAACCAATGTGCATTGTGAGCAACATGACCAGGCTATTTTACATATTAGTGTAGGTTAACAGTGAGGATAAATCGATATTACGACATGCCTTGCTCATATCGACATTGGTGCCCATTATTAATTATTATGAAAGTGTGCACTGCATGGTGAAGCCAGACCTGGAGACAACCCAAAGTTTTTACACAATGATCAAATAGCCTCTAGGAGGCGCTATCGTTGACATGGTGTGAATCAAGGAATGAGAATATTAACATAGATAAAGTGCTGAAAGAAAGCATTACCATGAAAGGACTAAATACAGAAATACATTTTAGAATAAAATAGTCTCACAAATAAAACGTCTGGTCACTGTAACAACATGTGAGCTCTTTGTCTCAATTTCTCAGTGGCAAATGGCTGTGAGACTCAAAAGATAAACTTGACTTTGTAAAATATGATCTTAGATCAGCGTTAAAACTAGCATTACATCCCCTCAGACAGCTGTACAGGAGAGGGTAATGTGGTCCTCTGCAGCTCAGCTGGTAAAGCACGGCGCTTGTAACGCTAAGGTTTGTTTGTTCGATCCCCGGGACCACCCATACACAAAAATGTATGCACGTGTGACTGTAAGTCGCTTTGGATAAAAGCGTCTGCTAAATGGCATATTATTATTATAATGTTTTATCATTTGTTGTTTCTGTTTGTTGTTTTTTTGCTTTTCAAGCACTTTGAGATTCTATTTTGTCATGAAAGCGCCAAATAAGCTCAATAAATTATTATTCATTACTATTATTAAGATTCATGTGAGCACTGCATGGTGAAGCCAGACCTTTAGACGACCCAAAGACAGCCCAGGCCATAGGTCACGTGCTTCATACACATGCACATTTGGAATTTACATTAAAGTCTGAAAGGCACTTGGCCATCGGGGAAGTCAGGAGTATTTTTTTGCTTACGCGAAGATTTGATCACATGCCCGAAAATGTTAATTAGCTATTTGCACTCAGAAGTGCCATATACTGTCAGTTTTTCACCTACACATAGTGGAGGAATCATGTATTTTGATTGTTATGTTTTAAAAAATGTCATCCGCCAAAACCAACCATTAGCCTGTGTGATTAACGGGGGCTGAGCTAGAGCAGTGTTTGTGAGACCAGGGCGGATCCTGAAAACGGTTATTCTCACAAAAACGTCTCTAATGTCTGAACGGTTTGAGCTACAAATTATTACTGCTTGATTTTTCATTAAATAAACTTCACTCTGAGTTGTGTGCTTGTCTTAATTGTGAAATGTTCCCACTTTTATATTGCACTGTAGTAAACTTGGAAGTATTTGGTATTTACAGTGCATTCGGAAAGAATTCAGACCCCTTGACGTTTTCCACATTTTGTTACATTACAGCCTTGTTCTAAAATTGATTACATTAATGTATTTCCTCATCAAATTACACACAGTACCCCATAATGACAAAGCGACAACAGGTTTTTAGACATTTTTGCAAATGTATTAAAAATAAAAAATATTCAGACCCTTTGCTATGACACTCGAAATTGAGCTCAGGTGCATCCTGTTTCCATTGATCATCCAGAGACCACCTGGACAAACCTAAAGGTTTCTGGAAGTCCATTCTCTGGACGGATGAGTCCAAAATTGACCTTTTTGGTCACAATCAACACCGCTATGTTTGGTGAAAACCCAACACTGCCTACCACCAAAATAACCTTATCCCAACAGTCAAGCATGGTGGTGGGAATGTCAAGATCTGGGGCTGCTTTTCCTACTCTGGACCTGGACGACTCCACATCATTAAGATAACCATTCTGAGGTGTACCAGGAGATTCTTGAACAGAACGTCAGGCCAACAGCCAAGGAGCTAAAGCTGGGCCGAAAATGGGTCTTCCAACAAGACAACGACCCAAAGCATTCAAGCAAATCTACCAAAGAATGGCTCAGGAGAAAGAAGATCTGTGTTTGGGATTGGCCAAGTCAAAGTCCTGACCTAAATCCAATCGAGATGCTGTGTCAGGACCTGAATCTGGCAGTTCATGCCAGACACACCTCAAACCTCAGATGTCAAAGACTGATTACTGGCTATAGGAGACGTTTAGTCCAAGTTATCACTGCCACAAGCTATTAACTGAAGGGGTTCACATATTGTTGCAGACATCAAATCTGAGTTTCTCTTAAATAAACCACTTGTTAAATAAACAATGAAAATATATCCTTTTTTTGTTTCTGTCATTTACCTGGAATGTCTTTAATATGAATTGGGGTTTAGATAAGGATTTTATGTTTATTTTGTAGCAAAATAATGACCAGCCCTGTAGGGTTCACACACTTTCAAGCAGCACTGTATGTCCCAAGGGGAGCCAGCGTACTTACAGGGGTCAAAGGTGAGCTTGGTCAACGTTCTGTTGTCAGCCAGCCCAACCAGGTTAATGATGTTCATGGTGACAAATAACATACAATTTGAAAACAAAAAGAATTAAAAAGCATGTGGGAAACCCCTGCTGAGTTAAGAGGCTACTCTCAATCAGCGTCTCAAATTGTCAATCCCCCCCCCCCCCAATCTCTTCTTCTATGGTATAATGGCGTTGGCAATGATTAGATGTGCATTATGCCACCTACTGTGCGGGTGGATAATAAGGGCCCAAAAAGGAAAACAGTTGGGTAAAAATAAATTAAATATCATACAATCTATCAAAACAGAAATTAACAAAAAAAAGTAAACTTGCTTTCCTATAAAAAAAACTATTTCTAATCAGGTCCCAAAAGCCTGCTGTGAGGGCAGGACATTTCCTAGTGAAAATAGTCCTTGTAGTGATTCTGCTGTGAAGTCTTGGAGCCCCAAGAACGTATTGGCTGCAGATATATCCAGCTTCTTGGACTTCTTAGACACTTGTGCTGTACAATTAATCACTGTGGCTATAAATGATTGTATCCAGATCAATCGATTGACTTAAAACACTAGCAACTGGTTGCAATGCATCCACCGCCATATCTTCATCACTGTTGCCTCTTCGACTCTCTTCACCGCCTCAACATAGGAGATCCGCTGCTCAGTCTTGATCCTTGACACCTCGACATCCTTCACCCTAATAGGGCACTCAAGGAAATCCAGAGTATGATCCCCACCACATTTTCCATTCACAGTTTCTTCAATATCATACTTGTCCCGTCTGCAAACATTTGACACGTGACCATATCCTTTACAATTGCCACACTGTAATGGTTTGGACACAAATGCGCTCACCTCATACAGCCAAGCTTCACATTCAGGTTGAGTCTCCTCAAACGACAATAATATCGACAGGCTTTTCTCCTTCCTTCCATTTACCATACGGTTCAGGTGACATGCACTGAACACTTCTGGGATTTACTGACTAAAGGTCCTCATCATCTATATCCAATGAGACTCCAGCTATAACTCCTTTGGCAGGCACCCTGCTCCGAAGATCAGTACATTACTTCTAACGTGAACAATTTTGCAAGATCCAGTGCATGCTTCTGTTCAACACAATTAACCAAAACAAGGTCGCTTCTAGTCACATTGAATCCACCTTTCCCACTGCTTTCCTCAATATAACAAATGGATTTCCCAAATGAACCTCCTTGTCTAAAAACCGCAGTCCAATAAGAAATGCATTATGGGACCGGTGCTTGTCTTCTACAACTTACTCATTTTGTTCCATTCTTTGATTTCACTATTTTCCGTTCGTTATCACACACACTTCACTTGCCGCACTTTCAGATTCAAGCAGTCGCAATATCCTCCTCCAGCTTCCTTAGACTCCCCATCCAGCACTCTCACCTGTGAGCCTTTAACCCTGTCGGCACTCAAAGCACCTGGCCTGGTTACTGCTGCTACCTAGGGGTGTGATATGAATAGTGGAAATGGACTGTTTAACTGTGGCCCAGCCACATCTACCTCTATTCCTAACAGTGGGACTTCCTATGGCAGCATTTCCCAAACTCAGTCCTTGGGACCCCAAGGGGTGCACGATTCGTTCCCCCCCCACCCAGCTGATTCAAATAACCAACTCATCAAGCTTGGATATTTGAATCAGCTGTGTAGTGCTAGGGCAAAAACCATAATCACAAAACAGATCTACCCAGCGAAGCTTGATCTTTGCAGAGCAAGCTGAAATCCCTGTTCGCTATGATAAAAAAATAAAATCACAGAAATGGGTTTTACACTGAATGCTTTATTTTAGCTGGAAATGATTAAATCATTATAATATATAAAATAAGCAATGACAAGGATTACATTCAACCCTATTGATGACCTATGAAGCCCAGCAAAACCCATGTGGATTGTGAGTAACATGACCACGCCCAAGTTTCCCCTACGATCAAATAGCATTCATGGCAAAGCTCTATTGAAGTATTGATCAAGACATTTTTATAATGCTGTTACTTGTCAATTGTGTTTGAAAACATGTCAATACAGTCAGTGAACTATTAGATAAAGTAGTGAAAGAGTATAGTTTAAAGCATTACGTTTTAGAATGAAGGATTGTTATGAACTAATGTCCACAATTGTCAAGCAGGAGGCTTTTCCAGAAAAAGAGATCAATGAGTTAGCAAGTGAACTTGTCAGATGCCGAATAGTTTTCAGATGCAGAGGAGAGGCTAAGGTGTGCACACCATGGTGACGGCAGACTTGGAGACGACCCAAAGATGTTCCAGGTCGTAGGTCACATGCTTCATCCGCAAGAACATTGGGACTTTGCGCCATCCAGTGCCCTCTGGTTTACTGGCTGTGATGCCGTCTCTGTGTTGAAGAAGGTGGGGTTCACATGTTTAAAGCTCATCCATTCAAAAAGAAAAAAAACTATTGTTGAACTTTATTAATTGTATATAGCCATTGATTGTTGAAGAATATAACTTATGACTCATGCGCTTAATACAACTGCATCAGAAGAAAACATGTAATATTTTACTAAATTGGTTGTAAACAATGCTATTGTTTTACAAAACATGTTTAAATGAAAAATTATTTTGTTCTCATCCGTCTGTCCTTACATTTATTGATCCATCTATGAACTTGAGTGGTTACATTTCTCCTGTCCCATCCCTCATCTGTTTACTAAAACAAGTGGCCATTTAGTTTTAAAAAAAAATCCAAACTGGAGCTTTAAAGGAGAGCGAACTTCTACATATTTTACCATACACTGTCTTCACATTCCTTCATAAGTCTATTATACAAGTTTAGATTTGATTATTATTACAAGTCATTTTTAAGCTAATAATGTTGAGGGAGAAAAGGGTGGAACTATACATATAGCTCAGTAGCAACCTTACCTGGTAAAAACGTCACCCGAAGAGTTGACCCCAAAGACACTACCATCAGTTGCCACCTCAATCATGGAAAGCTTGCCGTCAATGTGACTCCACCCCTTGTTTTGGCAGTCTTGATTCAGCTGGAAACAAACAAGGTTTTAGGACAATTTCTACAGTTATAATACTACGGTTTTAAAATAACAGACTCTCCACACTCTACTACAGCTCTCACACTCTTTCCCAGATCTTACAATCATTAAGAAGATATCATCATTCTTGTTGACTGCCCAGCACCCAAAGGGTCCACAACTGTAGTACTTCACAGCTCCTGGCAATCTTGTCCATGAAGTGGGTGAGCCTGGACCCTTGTAGCCAACTGTGGCACTACTTGTCAGACAGAATGGAGTATCGTCCATGTTGACCCCCACCATAAACTGGTTACCTCCAGCATCCAACTGCTTCAGAAGGCCTGAAGACCGACGGACAAGCAAACAATGAATCGTGTTTCAACACCGTGATGGTATCAGGAAAGATAAGTAGGCAGTGGTGTAAAGTACTTAAGTAGTTTTTGGGGGTTACTATACTATTTAGGAAAACGTTTACCTTTACTTCACTACATTCCTAAAGAAAATAATGTACTTTTTTCCCCCCATACATGTTCCCTGACACGCAAAAGTACTTGTTACATTTTGTCAGGAAAATGGTCCAATTCACACGCTTATCAAGAGAACATCCCTGGTCATCCCTACTGCCTCTGATCTGGCAGACTCACTCAACACAAATTCTTCCTTTGTAAATTATGTCTGAGTGTTGGAGTGTGCCCCTGGCTATCAGTCAATTTTTTTAAAACTAGAAAATTGTGCCGTCTGGTTTGCTTAATATAAGGATTTTGAAATGGTTTATACTTTTACTTTTGATACTTCAGTACATTTTAGCAATTCCATTTACTTTTGATACTTCAGTACATTTTAGCAATTCCATTTACTTTTGATACTTAAGTATATTTAAAACCAAATACTTTTAGACTTTTGCTCAAGTAGTATTTTACTGGGTGACTTCCACTTGAGTCATTTTCTATGAAGGTATCTTTAATTTTACTCAAGTATAACAATTGAGTACTTTTTCCACCACTGAAAGTAGGTGTCCTCTGGATAAATATTGAGCAATGCCCTCTACTTACCTGCAGCTTGCACCCAGTTACCGGCCACATACTTGTAGATCGAGTCTTCCTTGTTGACACCCCAGATCCCTGCTGGTCCTACAGTGATATGCTTCAGGGAACCAGGCAGGCGGATCCATTCATCACCTACCAGGTAGTAGGGGATTTGACTTGTGTCCGTTGCAACCACTTGTCCCAGTCCTGCATCGATCTGCATCAGATTCTTGATGTTTACTACCTCCTGACAGTCCCATGCTATGGAGACAAAGACATATGAGTATTTGTATTTATTATGGGTCCCCATTAGTTCCTGCCAAGGCAGCATTTTAAAAACATTACATTAACAGATTTCACAACACACTGTGCCCTCAGGCCCCTACTCCACCACATATCTAAAGTACAAAAATCCATGTGTACGTGTGTATGTTATCGTGTGTATGCATGTGTCTGCGCCTATGTTTGTGTTGCTTCACAGTCCATAAGGTGTTTTCTTATCTGTTTTTTAAATCTAATTTTACTACTTGCATCAGTTACTTGATGTGGAATAGAGTTCCATGTAGTCATGGCTCTATGTAGTACTGTGCACCTCCCATAGTCTGTTCTGGACTTGGGGACTGTGATGAGACCTCTGGTGGCATGTCTTGTGGGGTATGCATGGGTGACCGAGCTGTGCGCCAGTAGTTCAAACAGACAGCTCGGTGCACAACATGGCAACACCTCTCATAAACACAAGTAGTGATGAAGTCACTCTCCTCCACTTTGAGCCAGGAGAGATCGACATGCTATTAATATTAGCTCTCTGTGTACAGCCAAGGGCCAGCCGTGCTGCCCTGTTCTGAGCCAATTGCAATTTTCCTAAGTCCTTTTTTGTGGCACCTGACCACATGACTGAACAGTAGTCCAGGTGTGACAAAACTGGGGCCTGTAGGACCTGCCTTGTTGATAGTGCTGTTAAGAAGGTAGAGCAGCACTGTATTATGGACATACTTCTCCCCATCTTGGCTACTGTTGTATCAATATATTTTGACCATGACAGTTTACAATCCAGTAGAATACACCAAGGAAAAGGAGGATGAAATTATGGAGCAAACTTGATCAATTCCAAGTTGAACAAACATGCTTCAGATGATGGTAACTTACCATGACTCAGGGCCAGGAGACAGAGGACCAGTAGGACGGCTGCAGTGGCTCTCATGATGTCTCTGTAGATCTACAGTATAAGTTTGGTTGTACACCAGACTTCAACTGTCCCCTTGCAGGACTTTGTGCTTTTATAGCCCTGCACACAGCTTTGAAAGCAATGATGGCTTCCTGTTCCACCTGTTCAATGACGAGTTGATGGGAGGCTGGACCCGGACCTGCTTTCGAACCAATAGGCACAGGGGAAAATCTACCCTGGCAACAATATGTTACAAGTAGCCCCACTGCTCTAACAACTAACAATCACCCACAATGACAAGGGGGCAGAGGGAAGTATGTGGTTATACACAGACTAATTAGGGGATAGGAACCAGGTGTGTGTGATTGACAAGACAAGACAATTGTGATGATGATTGGGGCGGCAGTGGTTAGTAAGCCGGTGAGGACGAACGCCGAAGCCTGCCCGAACAAGGAGGGGAGGCAGCCTCGGCCGAAGTCCTGACAATCACAGCATGTTTTTGGACTCATTCAGCAGTTTTTTCCCTGATTAAATAGAATACAATTGGAAATTAATGTTGAAAATTCCATTTATATTCCTAAAAAATAAGTCAAAAATTATGCTGTCGCTGCTTCCTGTTATCAAAAACTTTGGATAAATAGCCCAATGTCAAAACACAGTTTTGAACTGTCCAAATCAATAATCATTGAAAACCTAAAATGAACCATCTCCACATACATGTGCAACAATAGTAATCAGATGATTCCATGGACGGCCGAGTGTCTGTGGGTTTTTTGGTTTTTACTTTCAGTTAAGACCTAGACAACCAGGTGAGGGGAGTTCCTTACTAATCAGTGACCTTAATTCGTCAATCAAGTATAAGGGAGGGGCAAAAATCTGCAGACACACTGCCCTCCGTGGAATGAGTTTGACACCCTTGATGTAGGGGATCTATAGTAGTTTCAGGCATTTCGTTTACACCTGCTACGTTAGGTGTCATCTTGTTAACCTCCAAAAACAACAGTCTCATCACAGGCTCTTTCCATTTCTCCTGAAAACCAGAACATCCGGTTGTTGGGGACTCGGCAGAGAACTTCACTTTCCTGCATTATCAAACCTTCCTGTCTCTTCTGTTGGTTTTCACTACAATTTCAGCATGCAGCTTGGCATGATCATTTAGTGCACATGTCAAACTCATTCCACGGAGGGCAGAGTGTCTGCTGGTTTTCGCTCCTCCCTTGGTTGTCTAGGGCTTAATTGAAAGGAAAATCCAGCAGACACTGGCCCATCCATGGAATGAGTTTGACACCCCTGATTTAGTGGAATAACTGTCTCGTCAACTCAGGTTGGCATTTATTGGGATGGCTCTTGTACTGGAGGCAGCTCTGCAGGGTGGTCACTAGCTGGCACAGCCACAACGTCATAAAATCTAAACCTAATCCTAACCTTAACCACACTAACCTTATGCCTAACCCTAACCTTAAGACCAAAAAGCATATTTTTTATTTTTATGAATGTTTACGATAGTAGCCAATTTTGACTTTGCAGCTGACCCATCCAGCGGAAACCGCTCTGCCTCCAGGACAAGATTCATCACAATAAACGTCAACCTGTCATGCCAAATGGATATTGCACAGTTATAAATCCTAGATCTGGAATATTTAACTCTTACTCTACGAGGTCCGGAGCCTGCTGGTTTTCTGTTCTACCTGATCATTAATTGCACCCACCTGGTGTCCCAGGTCAAAATCAGTCCCTGATTAGAGGGCAACAATGAAAAAACGCAGTGGAACTGGCTTCGAGATCCAGAGGTGAGTTTGAGGGTCCTAGATGGTGTGTGCCCATTACTACAGAAGACTGATAATGGCTTGCAAGTAGTCAACCTACACCAGCTCCTATTCTATCTTAATCTAGAGAAACTAGGACAAATTAACCAGTCTGTTGAAATTTTATGTGAAATGTTGAGTTAAGCAAACCGGGTGATTTATGTATACAGTACTGCTTGAATGTATGTGAACCCCTTGTGCAATTACAGATTTTTTCAGTTTTTACCATGAAAATTAAACATTTAATCAGAACCAGTCTTTTTGATCTGACATAGCAGGTTTATATTTACCAATACCATAGGTTGGTGTAGAGGAAATCATTCGTGTAGTAGAAAAACTAAATTAAAAAGGAATTAGTGCAGGTGCAAAAATAAGTGAACCCCAAGTTGCATTGTTTAAATCAAGTAGGTATGAAAAAAAAAATGTATGCACTCACTAACTGTAAGTTGCTCTGGATAAGAGCGTCTGCTAAATGACTAAAATGTAAAGTAGGTAAGTAGAATCAGGTTGGTAAATAATTTGCTACAAAATGACCCAATCAAAGGAGAGATCGTTAGGAAAGAGTTTGGGTGGGACTCTGATATCAGTTTGGTGTTACACATCCAGGTGAATGCAAAGCACACCATGCCGAGAGGAAAGGAGATCTCAGAGGACATCAGGACGAGGGTAGTGAGAGCACATCAGTCTGGGGAAGGCTATAAAATCATCTCAAAAAGATTTGAGCTCCATCAGTCCACTGTGAGGCAAATCATTTACAAATGAAGAGCATTTAACATGACAGCAACTCGGCCTAGAAGTGAACGCCCTTCCAAAATATCCCCAAGAGCCACAAGAACAATAATAAATCAGGTAAAAGCTAATCCAAACATAACATCTAGAGATTTTCAGACCTCCCTTACTGCATCTCTGGTAACTGTGCATGCTTCAACAATAAGAACACTGAATCAAAATGCCATTCATGGGAGGGTTGCTTGGAAGAAGCCTCTGGTTCTTTTTTGACTGCAAACTGCCCGTTTTAACTTTGCCAGAGACCACCTGGACAAACCTAAAGGTTTCTGGAAGTCCATTCTCTGGACGGATGAGTCCAAAATTGACCTTTTTGGTCACAATCAACACCGCTATGTTTGGTGAAAACCCAACACTGCCTACCACCAAAATAACCTTATCCCAACAGTCAAGCATGGTGGTGGGAATGTCAAGATCTGGGGCTGCTTTTCCTACTCTGGACCTGGACGACTCCACATCATTAAGATAACCATTCTGAGGTGTACCAGGAGATTCTTGAACAGAACGTCAGGCCATCAGCCAAGGAGCTAAAGCTGGGCCGAAAATGGGTCTTCCAACAAGACAACGACCCAAAGTATTCAAGCAAATCTACCAAAGAATGGCTCAGGAGAAAGAAGATCTGTGTTTGGGATTGGCCAAGTCAAAGTCCTGACCTAAATCCAATCGAGATGCTGTGTCAGGACCTGAATCTGGCAGTTCATGCCAGACACACCTCAAACCTCAGATGTCAAAGACTGATTACTGGCTATAGGAGACGTTTAGTCCAAGTTATAACTGCCACAAGCTATTAACTGAAGGGGTTCACATATTGTTGCAGACATCAAATCTGAGTTTCTCTTAAATAAACCACTTGTTAAATAAACAATGAAAATATATCCTTTTTTTGTTTCTGTCATTTACCTGGAATGTCTTTAATATGAATTGGGGTTTAGATAAGGATTTTATGTTTATTTTGTAGCAAAATAATGACCAGCCCTGTAGGGTTCACATACTTTCAAGCAGCACTGTATGTCCCAAGGGGAGCCAGCGTACTTACAGGGGTCAAAGGTGAGCTTGGTCAACGTTCTGTTGTCAGCCAGCCCAACCAGGTTAATGATGTTCATGGTGACAAATAACATACAATTTGAAAACAAAAAGGATTAAAAAAATTTGGGAAACCCCTGCTGAGTTAAGAGGCTACTCTCAATCAGCGTCTCAAATTGTCAATCCCCCCCCCCCCCCCCCCCAATCTCTTCTTCTATGGTATAATGGCGTTGGCAATTATTAGATGTGCATTATGCCACCTACTGTGCAAGTGGATAATAAGGGTCTCAAAAAGGAAAACAGTTGGGTAAAACTAAATTAAATATCATACAATCTATCAAAACAGAAATTAACAAAAAAAAGTAAACTTGCTTTTCTATTAAAAAAACTATTTCTAATCAGGTCCCAACACAGGCTCAAAAGCCTCCTGTGAGGGCAGGACATTTCCTAGTGAAAATAGTCCTTGTAGTGATTCTGCCGTGAAGTCTTGGAGCCCCAAGAACTTATTGGCTGCAGATATATCCAGCTTCTTGGACTTTAGACACTTGTGCTGTACAATTCATCACTGTGGCTATAAATGATTGTATCCAGATCAATCGATTGACTTAAAACACTAGCAACTGGTTGCAATGCATCCACCGCCATATCTTCATCACTGTTGCCTCTTCGACTCTCTTCACCGCCTCAACATAGGAGATCCGCTGCTCAGTCTTGATCCTTGACACCTCGACCTCCTTCACCCTAATAGGGCACTCAAGGAAATCCAGAGTATGATCCCCACCACATTTTCTTCAATATCATACTTGTCCCGTCTGCAAACATTTGACCATATCCTTTACAATTCCCACACTGTAATGGTTGACACAAATGCGCTCACCTCATACAGCCAAGCTTCACATTCAGGTTGAGTCTCCAACGACAATAATATCGACAGGCTTTTCTCCTTCCTTCCATTTACCATACGGTTCAGGTGACATGCACTGAACACTTCTGGGATTTACTGACTAAAGGTCCTCATCATCTATATCCAACGAGACTCCAGCTATAACTCCTTTGGCAGGCACCCTGCTCCGAAGATCAGTACGTTACTTCTAACGTGAACAATTTTGCAAGATCCAGTGCATGCTTCTGTTCAACACAATTAACCAAAACAAGGCCGCTTCTAGTCACATTGAATCCACCTTTCCCACTGCTTTCCTCACAGTCCTCGATATAACAAATGGATTTCCCAAATGAACCTCCTTGTCTAAAAACCGCAGTCCAATAAGAAATGCATTATGGGACCGGTGCTTGTCTTCTACAACTTACTCATTTTGTTCCATTCTTTGATTTCACTATTTTCCGTTCGTTATCACACACTTCACTTGCCGCACTTTCAGATTCAAGCAGTCGCAATATCCTCCTCCAGCTTCCTTAGACTCCCCATCCAGCACTCTCACCTGTGAGCCTTTAACCCTGTCGGCACTCAAAGCACCTGGCCTGGTTACTGCTGCTACCTAGGGGTGTGATATGAATAGTGGAAATGGACTGTTTAACTGTGGCCCAGCCACATCTACCTCTATTCCTAACAGTGGGACTTCCTATGGCAGCATTTCCCAAACTCAGTCCTTGGGACCCCAAGGGGTGCACGATTCGTTCCCCCCCCCCCACACAGCTGATTCAAATAACCAACTCATCAAGCTTGGATATTTGAATCAGCTGTGTAGTGCTAGGGCAAAAACCATAATTACAAAACAGATCTACCCAGCGAAGCTTGATCTTTGCAGAGCAAGCTGAAAACCCCCTGTTCACTATGATAAAAAAAAAATTCAAACACAGAAATGGGTTTTACACTGAATGCTTTATTTTAGCTGGAAATGATTAAATCATTATAATATATAAAATAAGCAATGACAAGGATTACATCCAACCCTATTGATGACCTATGAAGCCCAGCAAAACCCATGTGGATTGTGAGTAACATGACCACGCCCAAGTTTCCCCTACGATCAAATAGCATTCATGGCAAAGCTCTATTGAAGTATTGATCAAGACATTTTTATAATGCTGTTACTTGTCAATTGTGTTTGAAAACATGTCAATACAGTCAGTGAACTATTAGATAAAGTAGTGAAAGAGTATAGTTTAAAGCATTACGTTTTAGAATGAAGGATTGTTATGAACTAATGTCCACAATTGTCAAGCAGGAGGCTTTTCCAGAAAAAGATATCAATGAGTTAGCAAGTGAACTTGTCAGATGCCGAATAGTTTTCAGATGCAGAGGAGAGGCTAAGGTGTGCACACCATGGTGACGGCAGACTTGGAGACGACCCAAAGATGTTCCAGGTCGTAGGTCACATGCTTCATCCGCAAGAACAATGGGACTTTGCGCCATCCAGTGCCCTCTGGTTTACTGGCTGTGATGCCGTCTCTGTGTTGAAGAAGGTGGGGTTCACATGTTTAAAGCTCATCCAATCAAAAAGAAAAAAAAACTAACAATTGTTGAACTTTATTAATTGTATATAGCCATTGATTGTTGAAGAATATAACTTATGACTCATGAGCTTAATACAACTGCATCAGAAGAAAACATGTAATATTTTACTAAATTGGTTGTAAACAATGCTATTGTTTTACAAAACATGTTTAAATGAAAAATTATTTTGTTCTCATCTGTCTGTCCTTACATTTATTGATCCATCTATGAACTTGAGTGGTTACATTTCTCCTGTCCCATCCCTCATCTGTTTACTAAAACAAGTGGCCATTTAGTTTAAAAAAAAATCCAAACTGGAGCTTTAAAGGAGAGCGAACTTCTACATATTTTACCATGCACTGTCTTCACATTCCTTCATAAGTCTATTATACAAGTTTAGATTTGATTATTATTACAAGTCATTTTTAAGCTAATAATGTTGAGGGAGAAAAGGGTGGAACTATACATATAGCTCAGTAGCAACCTTACCTGGTAAAAACGTCACCCGAAGAGTTGACCCCAAAGACACTACCATCAGTTGCCACCTCAATCATGGAAAGCTTGCCATCAATGTGACTCCACCCCTTGTTTTGGCAGTCTTGATTCAGCTGGAAACAAACAAGGTTTTAGGACAATTTCTACAGTTATAATACTACGGTTTTAAAATAACAGACTCTCCACACTCTACTACAGCTCTCACACTCTTTCCCAGATCTTACAATCATTAAGAAGATATCATCATTCTTGTTGACTGCCCAGCACCCAAAGGGTCCACAACTGTAGTACTTCACAGCTCCTGGCAATCTTGTCCATGAAGTGGGTGAGCCTGGACCCTTGTAGCCAACTGTGGCACTACTTGTCAGACAGAATGGAGTATCGTCCATGTTGACCCCCACCATAAACTGGTTACCTCCAGCATCCAACTGCTTCAGAAGGCCTGAAGACCGACGGACAAGCAAACAATGAATTGTGTTTCAACACCGTGATGGTATCAGGAAAGATAAGTAGGCAGTGATGTAAAGTACTTAAGTAGTTTTTGGGGGTTACTATACTATTTAGGAAAACGTTTACCTTTACTTCACTACATTCCTAAAGAAAATAATGTACTTTTTTCCCCCCATACATGTTCCCTGACACGCAAAAGTACTTGTTACATTTTGTCAGGAAAATGGTCCAATTCACACGCTTATCAAGAGAACATCCCTGGTCATCCCTACTGCCTCTGATCTGGCAGACTCACTCAACACAAATTCTTCCTTTGTAAATTATGTCTGAGTGTTGGAGTGTGCCCCTGGCTATCAGTCAATTTTTTTAAAACTAGAAAATTGTGCCGTCTGGTTTGCTTAATATAAGGATTTTGAAATGGTTTATGCTTTTACTATTACTTTTGATACTTCAGTACATTTTAGCAATTCCATTTACTTTTGATACTTAAGTATATTTAAAACCAAATACTTTTAGACTTTTGCTCAAGTAGTATTTTACTGGGTGACTTCCACTTGAGTCATTTTCTATGAAGGTATCTTTAATTTTACTCAAGTATGACAATTGAGTACTTTTTCCACCACTGAAAGTAGGTGTCCTCTGGATAAATATTGAGCAATGCCCTCTACTTACCTGCAGCTTGCACCCAGTTACCGGCCACATACTTGTAGATCGAGTCTTCCTTGTTGACACCCCAGATCCCTGCTGGTCCTACAGTGATATGCTTCAGGGAACCAGGCAGGCGGATCCATTCATCACCTACCAGGTAGTAGGGGATTTGACTTGTGTCCGTTGCAACCACTTGTCCCAGTCCTGCATCGATCTGCATCAGATTCTTGATGTTTACTACCTCCTGACAGTCCCATGCTATGGAGACAAAGACATATGAGTATTTGTATTTATTATGGGTCCCCATTAGTTCCTGCCAAGGCAGCATTTTAAAAACATTACATTAACAGATTTCACGACACACTGTGCCCTCAGGCCCCTACCACATATCTAAAGTACAAAAATCCATGTGTACGTGTGTATAGTGCATATGTTATCGTGTGTATGCATGTGTCTGCGTCTATGTTTGTGTTGCGTCACAGTCCATAAGGTGTTTTCTTATCTGTTTTTTAAATCTAATTTTACTACTTGCATCAGTTACTTGATGTGGAATAGAGTTCCATGTAGTCATGGCTCTATGTAGTACTGTGCACCTCCCATAGTCTGTTCCGGATTTGGGGACTGTGATGAGACATCTGGAGGCTTGTCTTGTGGGGTATGCATGGGTGACCGAGCTGTGCGCCAGTAGTTCAAACAGACAGCTCGGTGCACAACATGTCAACACCTCTCATAAACACAAGTAGTGATGAAGTCAATCTCTCCTCCACTTTGAGCCAGGAGAGATCGACATGCTATTAATATTAGCCCTCTGTGTACATCCAAGGGCCAGCCGTGCTGCCCTGTTCTGAGCCAATTGCAATTTTCCTAAGTCCTTTTTTGTGGCACCTGACCACATGACTGAACAGTAGTCCAGGTGTGACAAAACTAGGGCCTGTAGGACCTGCCTTGTTTATAGTGCTGTTAAGAAGGTAGAGCAGCGCTTTATTATGGACATACTTCTCCCCATCTTGGCTACTGTTGTATCAATATATTTTGACCATGACAGTTTACAATCCAGTAGAATACACCAAGGAAAAGGAGGATGAAATTATGGAGCAAACTTGATCAATTCCAAGTTGAACAAACATGCTTCAGATGATGGTAACTTACCATGACTCAGGGCCAGGAGACAGAGGACCAGTAGGACGGCTGCAGTGGCTCTCATGATGTCTCTGTAGATCTACAGTATAAGTTTGGTTGTACACCAGACTGTCCCTTTGCAGGACTTTGTGCTTTTATAGCCCTGCACACAGCTTTGAAAGCAATGATGGCTTCCTGTTCCACCTGTTCAATGACGAGTTGATGGGAGGCTGGACCCGGACCTGCTTTCGAACCAATAGGCACAGGGGGAAAATCTACCCTGGCAACAATATGTTACAAGTAGCTCCACTGCTCTAACAAATAACAATCACCCACAATGACAAGGGGGCAGAGGGAACACTTATACACAGACTAATTAGGGGATAGGAACCAGGTGTGTGTGATTGACAAGACAAGACAATTGTGATGATGATTGGGGCGGCAGTGGTTAGTAAGCCTGTGAGGACGAACGCCGAAGCCTGCCCGAACAAGGAGGGGAGGCAGCCTCGGCCGAAGTCGTGACAATCACAGCATGTTTTTGGACTCATTCAGCATTTTTCCCCTGATTAAATAGAATACAATTGGAAATTAATGTTGAAAATTCCATTTATATTCCTAAAAAATAAGTCAAAAATTATGCTGTCGCTGCTTCCTGTTATCAAAAACTTTGGATAAATAGCCCAATGTCAAAACACCGTTTTGAACTGTCCAAATCAATAATCATTGAAAACCTAAAATGTACCATCTCTGTGCAACAATAGTAATCAGATTACTTGTATTTTTTTAACTAACACGTTATGAACTGCATATGAGCCCAAAACGCTGTAGTTTTGATTACTCATATCGATTGGGGGGGAAATCAGGTTGTATGCGGAAACTGGAAAGATTTTAACATCACTGGTTAGAAGACAGCGTGTCGGATGGAGATTCAGGCAGGCTGCCGAAACGGGGAAGGAAACAAAATCTGTTTGTTTTTTATTTAACTTCAACGAATTACGACCCTACGTAGGACATCATCAGTGACCAGGGTTGGTTGTTGTTTGAGTGATAGCACACTGGGAAATATGTTAATGAGACATGTATTTTAAGCCAACAGAGAATTCTGAAGTTGTGGGTGTCAGCAAACTATACTCTGTTGTGTAATCAACTCAGCTATTTGTGTTGCAAAGGCACATTTCAATATTTAAGTTCACACAGCACTGTTAAAAAAACGTTTTAAAACATTGTTGATCGGGCTATGATCATGATGTAATATCAGAGATGATGAGCTATGACAAGGATTGCGTTCACTGAAAAATAACAAAACCAATGTGCATTGTGAGCAACATGACCAGGCTATTTTACATATTAGTGTAGGTTAACCGTGAGGATAAATCGATATTACGACATGCCTTGCTCATATCGATATTGGTGCCCATTATTAATTATTATGAAAGTGTGCACTACATGGTGAAGCCAGACCTGGAGACAACCCAAAGTTTTTACACAATGATCAAATAGGTTCTAGGAGGCTCTATCGTTGACATGGTGTGAATCAAGGAATGAGAATATTAACATAGATAAAGTGCTGAAAGAAAGCATTACCATAAAAGGACTAAATACAGAAATACATTTTAGAATAAAATAGTCTCACAAACAAAACGTCTGGTCACTGTAACAACATGTGAGCTCTTTGTCTCAATTTCTCAGTGGCAAATGGCTGTGAGACTCAAAAGATAAACTTGACTTTGTAAAATATGATCTTAGATCAGCGTTAAAACTAGCATTACAACCCCTCAGACAGCTGTACAGGAGAGGTTCAACTAGCATTAAAACCCCTCAGACAGCTGTACAGGCGAGGGTAATGTGGTCCTCTGCAGCTCAGCTGGTAAAGCACGGTGCTTGTAACGCTAAGGTTGTGGGTTCAATCCCCGGGACCACCCATACACAAAAATGTATGCACGTGTGACTAAGTCGCTTTGGATAAAAGCGTCTGCTAAATGGCATATTATTATTATAATGTTTTATCATTTGTTGTTTCTGTTTGTTCGTTTTTTGCTTTTCAAGCACTTTGAGATTCTATTTTGTCATGAAAGCGCCAAATAAGCTCAATAAATTATTATTCATTACTATTATTGAGATTCATGTGAGCACTGCATGGTGAAGCCAGACCTTTAGACGACCCAAAGACAGCCCAGGCCATAGGTCACGTGCTTCATACACATGCACATTTGGAATTTACATTAAAGTCTGAAAGGCACTTGGCCATCAGGGAAGTCAGGAGTATTTTTTTGCTTACCCGAAGATTTGATCACATGCCCAAAAATGTTAATTAGCTATTTGCACTCAGAAGTGCCATATACTGTCAGTTTTTCACCTACACATAGTGGAGGAATCATGTATTTTGATTGATATGTTTTTAAAAATGTAATCCGCCAAAACCAACCATTAGCCTGTGTGATTAACGGGGGCTGAGCTAGAGCAGTGTTTGTGAGACCAGGGCGGATCCTGAAAACGGTTATTCTCACAAAAACGTCTAATGTCTGAACGGTTTGAGCTACAAATTATTACTGCTTGATTTTTCATTAAATAAACTTCACTCTGAGTTGTGTGCTTGTCTTAATTGTGAAATGTTCCCACATTTATATTGCACTGTAGTAAACTTGGAAGTATTTGGTATTTACAGTGCATTCGGAAAGAATTCAGACCCCTTGACGTTTTCCACATTTTGTTACATTACAGCCTTGTTCTAAAATTGATTACATTAATGTATTTCCTCATCAAATTACACACAGTACCCCATAATGACAAAGCGACAACAGGTTTTTAGACATTTTTGCAAATGTATTCAAAATAAAAAAAATTTACATAAGTATTCAGACCCTTTGCTATGACACTCGAAATTGAGCTCAGGTGCATCCTGTTTCCATTGATCATCCTTGAGATGTTTCTACAACTGGACTGGAGTCCACCTGTGGTAAATTCAATTGATTGGACATGATTTGGAAAGGCACACACCTGTCTATATAAGGTCCCACAGCTGACAGTGCATGTCAGAGCAAAAACCAAGCCATGAGGTGGAAGGAATTGTCCTAATTTTCCGAGGGCAGGGGTTGGGGTCGAGGCAAAAAGATCTGGGGAAGGGGGGCCCAAGGGAAAGGGAAGGGGTGCAAAGCTGTCATCAAAGCAAATGGTGGCTATTTGAAGAATCTCAAATATTTAAAAAAATTTTTTTGATTTGTTTTTAAAACTTTTTTGGTTACTCCCTTTTTTACATATTGATGTCTTCAACCCTTTTTTCAAAATTGTAAAAATATAAAAAAAAAGAAAAAACCCCTTTAATGAGTAGGTGTAGTAGTAAATAGTGTAGTAGCCCTTAAATAGTAGTAGTAGCAAAAGTAGTAAACAAGGGAAAAGGGGGGTAATGGGGGTAGCAGTAGTAAGGTTAAAGGTTTAAATAAAATAGTAGGACCCGGTTTTAGTAGCATAGTAGTAGTAGCACGGGGTTTAGAGGCATTAGTAGCAGTAGTAGTAGTAGGCCCGTAGTAGTGCAGTAGTGTAGTAGCGTGGTTTGTATAAAAGTGGAAATAGTGTAAAAGCAAATGTAGTAAAGGGTGTTTTGTAGTTTTTAGAAACGTTTGTAGTAGCTAATAGCAGTAAAAAGCAGTAGTAGTAGCAGTAGTGTAGTAGTTAGTTAGTAGTAGTAGGGTATTTTTTAGTAAAGAGTAGGGAGTAAATAGGGTAGCGTAATTCTAGTAGTAGAGTAGTAGGAAGTAGGGAGTAAACAGTATCATAGTAGAAGGGAAAAAACAGTGTACAGGGAGTAGCAGTTTTAGAAGCAGTAGCATAGAAGTAGCAAATAGCAAATAGTAGTAATAGTAGGGACAGTAGCGTAGTATTTGTAGTGTAGTAGTACGTATAGTAGCAGAGTAGAAATATGTGTAAACAGTAGAAAATAGCAGTAAAAGAGGCAGTAAAGCGTAAATAGTATCAGTAGTATTTTGCCCGTACAGTAGTAGCAGAGTATTTGTAGTATTTTAGTAGTAGTAGTAGTAGTAGTAGTAATAGTAGTAGTTATAGTAGTAGCAGTAGTAGTAGCAGTAGTAGTAGTAGCAGTAGAACCAGTAGTAGTATTAGCAGTAGAACCAGTAGTAGTAGTAGCAGTAGAACCAGTAGTAGTAGTAGCAGTAGAACCAGTAGTAGTAGTAGCAGTAGTAGTAGTAGCAGTAGAACCAGTAGTAGTAGTAGCAGTAGAAACAGTAGTAGCAGTAGTAGTGGTCCTCTGTAGCTCAGCTGGTAGAGCACGGCGCTTGTAACGCCAAGGTAGTGGGTTCGATCCCCGGGACCACCCATACACAAAAATGTATGCACGCATGACTGTAAGTCGCTTCGGATAAAAGCGTCTGCTAAATGGCATATTATTATATTAGCAGCAGTAGCAGTAGCAGTAGCAGTAGTAGTGTCTCCTCTCTCATCTCACCTCGTCTCACCTCATGCTGGGCACGGCCACATGATCAAGGCATGCAGGAGGGACTCGATAAAAGGCTTTGCTTCTCTTGGCAACACCCTTACATCCTTCGTCCCTAAACAAGCCTCTTGTCCCTCTTTAGGTCTGGTCCTGTGGGATAAACGATACATGGACAACATGTATTATATGGTTTCAGACACAACATGAAGGGGATAGCAGCACACGAGACGAGGCCCATACGCTACTCATCGACGCTTTCTCAATTAATCTTTCCTCGGTTCCTCGCATCCTCTCTCCTCACGCGTCCTCAAAGCGCATTGGAGAAGAAGGCCTAAGAGGGGGGACCTTGGACCTTCTCCTCCAATACGGTTGAGAAGGAGGTGAGGAATAATGGAAAGATGAATTGAGATAAAGTCAATGTGTAGCGGATGGATCATTTAGGCCGACTCTATTTCCTGCCTGTGCTGCTGTCAGGTTCACACAGGATGTTAACTGAGATGGAGGATGCTGCTTAGTTATCACAGGGAGGGGAGGGGTCTTCGGGGAGGGGAGGGGTCCTCACAGCATGGAGGGGAGGTGATGAGGCAGCACGCATTCGTCTCTGAAAAAGCCTTACCAAAACAGAGCAAAAACTTTATCTGTGGGTTTTGGGGTGACCTTTAACATTATTCCCCGGTGAAATCAGTCTGCAGAGTTGAGAGGAAAAGCA